TATTCCCTCTCTGACCCCTACCCCACATACAGTGCCACAACGCAGTGAGGCGCGTTGCCCCCCTCTGTGAATACCTAAGGCTCAGTCCCTTTGTCTCAACAGGTGTGCTGAGACAAAGAAATATGGCCCAAAAGAAAGAACAGATTAAAATGCCAGAAAAACATCTAAGCAACAAGGAGATAGCCAACCTATCAGATGGAAAGTTCAAAATACTGGTAATCAAGATGCTCACAGATGATTGAGTACAGAAGCAAAATAAAGGAAGAAGTGAAGGCTATACAGAGTGAAAGAAAGGAAAATGTACAGGGAACCAACAGTGAAGGAAAGGAAACCAGGACTCAAATCAATGATTTGGAAAAAAAGATAGAAATAAACATTCAACCAGAATAGAATGAAGAAACAAGAATTCAAAATCATGAGGAGAGGCTTAGGAACCGCTGGGACAACCTTAAGTATACCAACATCCAAATCATAGGGGTGCCAGAAGGAGAAGAGGAAGAGCAAGAAATTAAAAACTTACTTGAAAAAATAATGGAGAACTTCCCCAATCTGGCTAAGGAAATAGGCATGTAAGTCCAAGAAACTTAGAGAGTCCCTAACAAGTTAGACTCAAAGAGGGCCACACCAAGACACATCATAATGAAAATGCCAAAGATTGAAGATAAAGAGAAAACCTTAAAAGCAGCAGAGAAAAGCAGAAAGTTACTTACAGAGGAGTTCCCATACGACTATCAGCTGCTTTCTCAAAAGAAAACTTGCAAGCAAGAAGGGACTGGCAAGAAGTATTCAAAGTGATAAAAAAACAAGGACCTACATCCAAGATTACCCTATCTAGCAAAGCTATCATTTAGAATTGAAGGGCAGATACAGGGCTTCCCAGACAAGGTAAAGTTAAAGGAGTTCATCATCACCAAGCCCTTATTATATGAAATGTTAAAGGGACTTATATATGAAAAAGAAGATCAAAACTATGAATGTTAAAATGACAACAAACTCACAGCTATCAACCACTGAACCAAAAAAACCCCCAGAAAACAAAGAAACAACAAGAAAAAAAACTAAGCAAATAACTAGAACAGGAATAGAGTAATAGAAATGGAGGGTTACTAGTGGGGAAGGGGAAAGGGAGAATGGGTGAAAAAGTACAGGGAATAAGAAGCATAATTGGTAGGTACAAAATAGACAGGGGGAAGGTAAGAATAGTATAGGAAATGGAGGAGCCAAAGAGCTTGTATGGGTGGCCCATGGACATGAAATAAGGGGAGGGGGGCATTGCTGGAGGGAATGGGAGCAAAGGGGGAGAGAGCTGAGAAAGAAATGGGACAACTGTAATAGCATAATCAATGAAATACACTTAAAGAAAAACTTACAGGGAACCAATAGTGAAGTGAATGAAGCTGAGAATCAAGTCAATAATTTGGGACATAAGGAAGCAAAAAACACTTAATCAGAACAGCAGGAAGAAAAAAAGAATAAAAAAAAAAAAAAAACAAGGATAGGCTAAGGAGCCTCTGGGACAACTTCTGGGACAAATGCCAATGTACAGGGGTACCAGAGGAGAAGAGAAAGAGCAAGATATTGAAAACTTATTTGGAAAAATAATGAAAGAAAACTTCCCTGATTTGGTGAAGGAAATAGACATACCAGTCCAGGAAGCATTGGAGTCCCAAATAAGATGGACCCAAAGAGGACCACACCAAGACATATCATATTTAAGAAAGTTGAGTTATTTAAGAAATTTGAATTATTTAAGAAGAAGATAAAAACTATGAACATTAAAATGGCGATAAATTCACAACTATCAGCAATTGAATCTGAAAAACAAACTAAGCAAACAAGCAGAACTGAAACAGAATTGTACATATGGAGATCATTTGGAGGGTTATTAGTTGGGAGGGGGAAGGGAAGAATGGGGGAAATGGTGCAGGAATTAAGAAGTACATATTGGTAGGTACAGAATAGACAGAGGGATGTTAAGTAGAGTATAGGATATGGAGTAGCCAGATAACTTATATGCATGACCCATGGACATGAGCTAAGCGGGGGAATTGCCAGAAGGGGTGAGGGTACCAGGTAGAGGGGGGGCAAAGGGGAAAAGTGAGACAACTGAAATAGCATAATCAATGAAATATAGTAAAAAAGACAAAACATTTGGTTTTTTTCCATGATAATTTGTAGGAGTTATTTCTATATATCGGATATTATACCTTTGTCAGTTATCTGTGTAATAAATACTTTTTCCTAGTTAGTGGCTTGTATTTTTTTTAATGGTGTCTTTTGATGAACATAAATTTTAAATTTAAATGCAGTGATGTATTTTCTGGATTATGTTCTTGTTCTCTTTGCTTAAGAAATCTTATTACTCCAAGGTCATAAAAATATTTTCCTATATTTTCTTCTAAAAGTTTTAAAGTTTTCATTTTTACATTTAAGTTTTTAACCGAGCTGGAATTCATTTTTGTATATTGTACAATATAGAATGGTATCCAATTCTGTTTTTTTCTCCATGTGGATAATTATCTCCGTATCTCTTATTGACCAGTCTGTCACTTCCTGCTGATTTGCAATGTCCCACTCTATGCCCTCCTTTCTCCTGATCAGGTTTCTATTTATGTGGGGGCCGATTTCTGGGATCTCTGTTTTGTTTTGTTTTGTTTTGTTTTGTTTCTCTATTTCTGCACCATTACTTTTCAATATCTTAATGATCACTGGTTATAATAAGTCTTTTGTCTGGTAAGGAAATCTGTAATATGTTGTTCATCATCTTCAAAATCATCTAGAAAGTTTGAATCTGAAAAACAAACTAAGCAAACAAGCAGAACTGAAACAGAATTGTACGTATGGAGATCATTTGGAGGGTTATTAGTTGGGAGGGGGAAGGGAAGAATGGGGGAAATACATTTCAGAATTGGTGTATTAGGCTGATTCCTAAATATATAATGTTTTTGTTCTACAACAAATAGCATTATTAACTTTTCCCCAGCCACTCCTAGTCTTTAGGAAAACACTGACTTCTGTATAGACTTACACCTTGCAGGGGGTGCTGCATATGTATATGCAGAGTGAGAGGCAGATCATGGAGTTTCAAGGTGCCTGTACTCTCCGGGGGGATGTGGCAATGGCTAGAGGCGACTTTTGGCTAGGAATGTGGTGAAGGACAAGTGGGTACAGAGAGTGATGTGACAGGGAACTGGGTGAGATAGCTGGAGAGATTTTTGTGTTACGATATAGTGAGGTTTGGGAGGAAGGAAATGGCATCTGGTAAACATTTCTGGAGATCTCTTTATGGTACTTTGATTAAATCCCTAGGTTGAGCCTTTAAGAAAACCTATAGCTGCCACTGCAGTCCCACAGGGCCTTGCTCTCAGATTTGTGCCCGCTTTGACTGTAGCTACATCAAATCCAGCTAAGTTCAGGAGGTGAGGTGGTGGGGAAGAGTCAGTATTAATCAGATGAGACCTGACACTGAGTAGCTTACCAGTAATTGCCGATTGAGTGATCACGTCACCTGTGTTCTTGGCAGCACTTGAAAGATGGCCTTGCTCATCTTTTTTTCTGGCTTGATGGGATCCTCCTTGACCTTGATCCTGATGAGCTAGGATGAAGGTTCATGTCTCCTTTCCTCTGCATTCTGTGGCTAGAGGTCTGAAGCAGGGTCTAGAGAGAGTCAGAAGCAAGAGAGTCCCTCAGGGAGCATCTCCGGAGAAGGCAGGAGATGAAACAGTCTGGGAAGCAGAACTGAGGTGATGTTCTGGGTGGCAGCGTTCTGAGATGGGGGTGGCGCGGAGCGGGCATCGGGGCGGAACTCCTAGAGGGGGAAGAATTTGAGGTGGGAGCGTGTTGAGCCAGGCCTGGGTGGGAGAAGGAATGTGGAGGGAAGAAGGGGCTGAGGCTGGGCTGCACTGTGCCAGATTGTGCCCAGGCCAATTTAGGCAGTAAGATCATAGAACTCACCTGCATTGTTGGTGCCAACATCGAGTGCTGACCTTTCACAGGAACCTTTTCCAAGTAGAGCAGTGCCTACAGCATGGCAGGTGTAGCCAAGATCCCGAGGTGAGAGCAGGAGTGTGGACAGTGAGGTTCCTGATTCCCAGGGTGAAGAGGGATCTTAAGAAATGCTCAAGGCTGCAGTGGCTTCCTTGGAGTCCTCCTTCCTACAGTGGAGTTAAGGAGGAGGCAGATTATCTCCTAAGACCTCTCCCATCTCTCCCTTCAGGTCCTCCATCCAACTCCACTTCAAATCTTGAGTGCCTTTCACATGGTCTTGCTCTCAGCTGGATGCTAATTAATCACCACCAAGTGTCAGGACACAATAAAGAAGTGTTTACCTTTTAATGATTATATAATTGAGCACACAACGACTTTGATCTTACTGTGGGGCAGGCGCTGTGCTAACTTCTGGTGATACAGGCATGAATAAACAAGAGACTCTTCCTATAGATATCTGTCCTCTCATTCTCATCCGCCTGAGGAATCCTTACTACAGGGCACGTGACCACCTGGGGGGTCAGAGGAGGTCTTTCTGACAGATACCCAAAGCACAGGTTAGGTAGAAGGAAGGGTGGAAGAGTGTTCTGGGCATAGGGGAAGCCTCTGTGGCGGGAAGCCACACGGCCTGTGATGAAGGAGCTGGAACGAGGCCAGAGCAGATGCAGTGCGGTGGGTTTCAGGGGGAGAGACCTGGAGGGCAGGGGCCACCTCGCCCAGGACTTTGAATGGCAGGTAGTTTGTATGTTACTCAAAGAGAACTGGGAAACCTGTACATCTTTTTTCTGCAGGGGGTTGACTCAGGTTGACCAACTCACTCTGGTTTGCTGGGGCATTGTGGTTTTAGCAATGAAAGTCCTGTATCCTGGAAACCCCCCAGTATAAACAAACTAGGATGGACTTTGATTAATTAGATTTATGTTTTACAAAGGTCACATTGACTGAAGAATAAATAATGAAATTAAAAAGGCAAGAGAGAGTATAGGAGAGAGCATTTAAAAAGCTGGGGAAAAATACTTAACTGGCAGGAGAGACACCATGATCATAAAGGTGGTTTTCCCAAGGCGAGGCTTGCCCATTGCACCCCAGATGTACTGACCCCTGAGATTTCCGCAAATGTGGGAAACTCAACCGCATAATTTGTGGTAGTGGGAGATTTCATTTTGCTTTTCTCTGGCAGAAAAAAAAAAGAGAGAGAGAGAGAAAAGAAGAGGAAAAGAGAGAGAAAGAAAGAAACTGGGGGGAAGAAGCAGTTAAAACAAGCATCTAATATTTATTAAAGGTTTACCATGTGTCAGCCACCCTTGCAAGCACTTTACATTAGGTATGCTATTTAATTTTCAAAACAATGCTATAAGCCAAATACGATTTTTATTTTTATAAGTGAGAAAAAAGGCTTAGAGGGGTTAAGTAATTTGCTCAGAGTCAAACATCTTGTGAGTGGTGTCATGGGATATGAACCTGAAAACCTGACTTCAGTGCCTGACACCACACTGAACTGCCATCAGGGCAAGTATCATGTATGCACTGACAAAGAGGAGACTGATTGGAAGTCTGTATAAAAAGCAGGGGGCACTTTATCTGCCCTTCAATTCTAAATGATAGCTTTGCTGGATAGAGTAATCTAGGTTGTAGGTTCTTGCTTTTTATCACTTTGAATACTTCTTGCCAGCCCCTTCTTGCCTACAAGGTTTCTTTTGAGAAATCAGCTGATAGTCTTATGGGAACACCTTTGTAGGTAACTTTCTGCTTTTCTCTTGCTGCTTTTAAGATTCTCTCTTTATCTTTAATCTTTGGCATTTTAATTATGATGTGTCATTTTAATTATGATGGGCCCTCTTTGGGTCCATCCTGTTTGGGACTCACTGTACTTCTTGGACTTGTATGTTCATTTCCTTCAACAAATTGGGGAAGTTTTCTTTTATTATTTTTTCAAATAAATTTTCAACTTCTTGCTCTTCCTCTTTTCCTTCTGGTACCCCTATGATTTAGATGTTGTTATATTTCAATTTGTCCCAGACGTTCCTAAGCCTATCCTTGTTTTTTGAATTTTTTCTTCTTGCTGTTCTGATTGAATGCTTTTTTCCTTCCTTTTTAAAGGGACTTATTTAAGAAAAAGTCCCTTTATTAAAGGGACTTTTATCTTCATCAAAGCTATGAACACTAAAAGGGCAACAAATTCACAACTATCAACAACTGAATCTAAAAACAAACTAAGCCAACAACCAGAACAGGAACAGAATCATAGATGTGGGGATCATTCAGAGGGTTATCAGCTGGGAGGGAGAAGAATGTGGAAAAAGCAATAGGGATTAAGAAGCATAATTGGTAGGTACAGAATAGACAGGGGGGATGTCAAGAATAGTATAGGAAATGGAGAAGCCAAAAAACTTATATGCACAACCCATGGACATGAACTAAGGGAGAGGGTTGCTGGAAGGAAGGGGTTCCAGGCAGAGGGGGCAAAGGGGGAAAAATCGGGACAATGGTAATAGCACAATCAATAAAATATATTTTTAAAAAAGTAGGCACACTCCAATCCCTTTTCCCACCTATGCTGACAGATAATTCTCACCCTCCTATGCCAGCAGAACTTAAATGAGAACCCTAAACACCGTGGAGGGCAGAGGTACTTCACAGAGACCAGGGGAGTAGGTAGAGGTCTGTACATTGAGTGGTGAGGCCATCGAAGCGCCTTCTTCCACTCACCTTTGAGAATATTAGCTGCCAAGTTTATTCTCCTGAGACTGAAGATTGGAAAATTCTTCTTGGGGAGATTGACCACCCCTCGATGGCCCTCTGTTGGGGACCACTTTGTGCGGTAAGGGGAATTGTAGCCCTGGGTTAGCTAGGGCCCCTGCCTGTAAGCCTCAACTTGAAAGTCAGGAATGCTGGGAGGCGCCTGGACAGATACTAACACACAGTGTCCCCTGGGAAATCTGGCCCAAAAATGCAACATAGTTACTGAAGCTTGCTCTGCCTCTCACTGCCCTGATGAGGAAAAAAACCAGGTGTTTTACTTAACCACAAGGAGATAATTTCTGAGCACCAAAAACTGTGCCTTAATGAGCACCTGGCACCAACTTGTCTGATGGACTTTGATTTAAGACAAACCTCTGTATTTCTTCAATTTATTATCTATAGCCTTTTCATGTAGAATGATAGGCTTTGTATGTATGTTGTATACTCCTGCACTTTTCATTCTCAGTAAAAGCCACTTCGAGAGAGGGCTCTGGGCAATTCTCCACTAGAGGGAATTGCCAACCCCCTCTTCCTGACAGGCACATTGTGTCTGGTACGGTTTACTTCCCCATCCGCAGCGATCCAGAGAGGCTCTGTGGGACAGAGCCCTCCCTCAGTCCTCCATAAAACAACTCAGATCACTCTATGATGAAAATCATTGCTTGACAAACCCTGCCCTTCTAGCACTTCTATAGTTTTTGGTGCCTCGTTCTTAAACAGAAGCAGATAACTAAGGATTACCTGATATTTAACGAAAGTCTTATATATGAAAGATTGAGAAAAAAGCCTAGAAAAATAAACAGGCAAAAGAAACTTGGAAAAAAAAGTCAAAGCAGGTAATAGGAGAAAATTTCAAAAGAAAAACATTTTCATCCCTGGCCAGGTGGCCCAGCTGGTTGAAACATCATCCCATACACCTAAAGGTGTACCTACATCACAGTTTCAATCCCTCGTCGGAGTGCATACGGGTGGCAACCAATGAATGTTTCTCTCTCCCATCTCTCTCCCTTTTTCCCTCCCTCTCTCTCCCCTTTCTGCATTGTCTAAAACCAATAAACATATCCTTGATTGAAGATTAAAAAAAGGAGAAAAATATTTTCAGAAAGATAAGAGAGGATATTGAATCTGTGACACAAAAATAGGAGGAAATTAAATAATAAAAATAAATAAAAATAAAAAAGAACATTCATGCTCTGGCTGGTGTGGCTCAGTGGACTGGGCACCAGCCTGCAAATCAAAAGGCCTCCAGTTCAATTCCCAGTCAGGGCACATGCCTGGGTTACTGGCCAGGTCTCTGGTTGGGGGCATGCAGGAGGCAACTGATCGATGTTTCTCTCCCTCTCTTTCTCCCTCCCCTTCTCTCTAAAAGTAAATAAATAAAATCTAAAAAATAAAAATTAAAAAATTAAAAAGAACATTCAGAGAAGAATCAGATCTTAGAAATTACAAAATAGGCTTGTGTCTGGTTTTCCTCCATTATTGGCAGAAGTAAAAATTCAATGCAAGTGTTAGAAGATAAAGTTGAATTTTATTTTATTTTAAAGTAAATTAAAAAAAAACCAACATGCTTCTTAGGATATAATTCCAACAGTGGAATCACTGGGTCAAAAGGCAGTTCCATTTTAGTTTTCTGAAGAAATTCCATACTGTTTTCCACAGTGGCTGCACCAGTCTGCATTCCCACCAAGAATGCACTAGAGTTCCTTTTTCTGCACATCCTCGTCAGCACTTGTTATTTGTTGATTTATTAGTGATGACCATTCTGATCAGTGTGATGTGATAGCTCAGAACTTATGCACCCCTATGTTCATAGCAGCATTATTTACAATAGCCAAGTGCTGAAAACAGCTGAAGCCCATCAGTAAATGAGTGGATAAAAAAACTGTGGCACATTTACACAGTGGAATACTACACAGCAGAAAGAAAGAAGGAACCTTTCTTGACAGCATGGATGGAACTGGAGAATATTATGCGAAGTGAAATAAGCCAGGCGGTGAAAGGCAAGAACCATATGATCTCACCTATAAGAGGAACCTAATGAACAAAACAGTGAGCAAAATAGAGCAAGAGACACGGAAACAAGGAACAGACTGAAAACGACCAGAGGGGAGACGGGAGAAGGACAGGGTGGAAAGAAGTGGAACATGTATGAATGACCCATGGGCATGGACGACAGGGAGGAGATTGGCTGTGGGAGCAGGTGGGAGGGTGGGCTGGGTGAAGAAGAGCAAAGGGGAAAAAATGGTGACAACTGTAATAGAATAACAATAAAATATTTACAAAATTTAAAAACAACAACAAAAATACAGAAAAAAAGAGAAAAGTGAATAGTAGAGGATCAATTTTGTAAACCCAAGAGTGGAGAGTGGATCAAGATAATGAAGGGAAGAAATGATCAAAGAAATGGTAAAACTGTTGGATCTGAATGACATGCTTTCATATTAAAAGAATCCCTTGATTGCTCAGCACAATGGATTTAAAAAAGATTCTTTTTAAAAAAATTTTATTTATTGATTTTAAAGAGAGAGAGAGAGAGAGGAAGGGAGAGAAAGATTGACTTCATTTTCCTACTTATTTATGCATTCATTGATCGATTCTTATATGTGCCCTGACTGTGGATCAAACCTATGACCTTGGAATATGTTCTAACCAACTGAACTACCTGGCCAGGGCAAAAATAAAATAAGTAAAATAAATTATTAGCAAAGTACATCATCATAAAATTTTAGAAAACTGACAAAGAGAAGATTCTTAAGCTTTCTAGTGGAATGAAACTAAATGTAATTCTGGAAAAGAGAAAAGAAATCATGTAATATCTCCAAATTTCTGAAGGAAAGAGATTTGTAGTCTAGATTTCTGTGCCCAAAGGAACTATCATTCAATGCAGAAAAATATTTTCAGATATTCGGGGTCTTAATGTTACTTCTTAAGAACTTATTCTTGGGAAGTTACTGGAGGATGTAACGCTCCTAAAAGAAGGGAGTAAACCAAGAAAGAGGAAGACATGAGACTCAGGAACTAGGTGATGTCATATAGGAGAAAGGCAAAAGGAAATCCTAGGCTGAAGGTGTAGGTAAGACACAAGAAGATGGCCTCACAACAGATCTAGAGAGAAATGAGCCTAGGTTGGAGCAGGATTATGAGGGACTCCAGGAACGATGTCTTCAGGTAATAAAAAGAAAGTTGTAGGCTATCTAATGTACTTAACTGAATTGAGAGACTTATATTGTGTTTGGTGAGAGTTCTGGGGGAGGGTTAGTGGTAGGAAAAGGCAAAACTAAACAAATAAAAAAATAAAACAGCTATTAATTACTGAAAAAAAACAAAAAGTTGTACCAAAAAGAATATATACATTGTAACAATATTGTGTTACAATATTTATCTGTGAATAGTAGTTACATAACCATAACATTATATGCCATGAATTGTTTTCT